TATTTAGAGTTGAAATTCCTGAACAAATTTTGTTTTGGATTTACTAAGATTAAAGATATTCCAGTTTGAAGTTTTGGAATATATTTTATTCAATTACGTAACACATAAACGTAATTGAATAAAATATATTCGGTGTAATATTATATCAAAATAAACTACAGAAGCCTTAAACAGAGTTAACAGACGTGACGAAAGTTCAAAGGAAATTATTTTGTATACTGGTATGGTCAAAAGGCACGAAGTTAAGCCATGATTAAAACTCTGAGTTAATTAATAACATACCACAGACTATTGCCCGGTAACTCGGGCACAAATTATTTTTTGTGAAACGTGCCATCTGTCCCTGATTTTGGGAACTTTTTGTCAGTTTTACCATTTTATCGCGTGGCATTTTGGAGAAGAAATTATCGAGTTTATTTTTTGTAATGAAGTAATTAATCTTTTATTAGCTTGTTACAAATCGGTCGAATCAGTACATTTGATATTACGTGAACTAAGTGTGGACCATATTCATATGTAGGTATTGAAATGCCTTTTTTGGAGGTCAAATGTCGCTCAATGTTAAGAAACTAAGAAACTAGTAATTGTATATATCACTCCGGTTACATACTAATTAATCATTAAAGTTTCTTTTAAATTTATGATTTTATCTCCAGACTTAGATAGGCCGCTATTATAATTTGAAAAACCTAATGAATTTAATTTATTCAAACTTGTAATTATGACATTTGAAGACGAATTCATTTAACTATGATTTTACCATTGTTCTTTGGTGTTTCATGGAAATCGATATTACAATAATATGATAACCTCAAGGTTATCATATTATTATAATATCTGATGCCGTAACCAGAACAATCTTCAGGCTACCCAACTCTTCAACTACTTAGATCTATACTAACGTGTCTGAGTTTATTCATTTGGTCTCTGTGGGTTGGCTTACGGATTATGGCGACTATTTTGACTCGACTTAAAAAAAGGAGGAGGTTCTCAATTTGACTGCAATTCTTTTTTGTATGTATGTTACGCGATAACTCCGCGGCATTTGTGAACCGATTTTGATGATTCTTTTTTGTTGAAAAAAGGTACTTCAGAAGTGGTCCCATTTAAATTTGAAGACTATTCCACCTACGAAAATGGCAAACTAGGAGAATAATGATTTTTAAAGTTGGTTTTTTCAGTACTCTGTACTGAGATTATTTATTGACAAATTACACGACTATGGGCGTATTTAATTTTCAACAAAAAAAGGTACTTTTCGTAAGTGATATTAATTTTCAAATAAATTGCTGTACTTAGTATATAATACAATTATTTAAAGATGATGCACGAAAAGAACACCGCACGATTCCTTCCCTGTAAGTGGCGCATCTGGGCTACACTCGGCGATGGCAAGCATTATACATACATAGTACGTAACATCGATACGATAAAAAGAAGAAGAATGCAACTACAACTTGCGCGCACCAAAAAACATTGCTCAAATTAGAACTAAACAGCATAAATAATATAAAAACAGTAATCTATTAAATAATAGGCACTAATAACAAATGTTTCTGTTTCACTATTAACAGCATTGTCCAATTGTATTGAATCACGCGCCACAATGGGCGGTAATTAAGGCACAATCCAAATATTAACGTGCTCAAGCACATCGCATTGGTGGTCGCAATAGTAAAATATCGACAAAGATTAATTTAATACAATACAGATGTTGTGTATTGTGCCTATGTGCGTATTATCTGTGGAGGGACAACATTGCAATACTTATTTTCTCAAAGCTCTATAGGTAACTCGGATTTAATAGAGGTGAAGCAGAGTCTTGAACACCGCCGTAAAATTGCCTGCTTATCGATATTCTACAAGGATCACGGAGAGTGTGCCACGGGATTGTACGATTTGATTCCGCCTTCCCCTTCCCATTATCGAGGGACTAGACGTAGGCTGGGGTTCCATCCCTATGTTCAGATATTTGAAAGATTTATATGACGAATTATTTGTATTATTTAGGTGTACATGTTTTATCATCGGCCTTGTCGTCACTTTCCATCAAGTGAGATGGAGGTCAAACGCGCACTTATTCTTTTATACAAAAAAAAATTACGTTACACAAAATTTTATTGAAAGGAAATAAAATATGGATCTTTGACTTACTAACAACTTCAATTGACACCTATTTATAGATGTAGTTGGTAAAGGATAGTTTTATCTTCATTTTCAATCTTTAGATTCAATTATACACATTTTCTCCTCTACATATACACCTAATCATATCTAAAGGAATGACTGCGCACCCGCAGTGGCGATCCCACAACGACCTCCAGCGGGCGCGACTTGATGAAATTAGATCGATGAACATGATAAATCTCTCGATTGGTTCGACGATGCCACTAACAAATTACGATCTGTCCTGTCTACGCCGTATCTATTCGCTGACAACTGTTTGGTGACGTAATTGATTATACGATAGTACATTTATTTCTTATTTGATAAACATGAACAATATTACTAAAATTGTTTGTCTAACTAAACACCAGTATATTACGTATTTGTTCTGGGGGTCTACTCCCTTTCTCCATCATACATCCGTCCGAAGTAAGTAATACTCGACAAAATTAGAAGACGCATGATGCAAATGAAGTCTTATACTTGACATTGTTTTGATATGATCGTGTATTACTTTGTCACGCGGGTCTTGCATTAAATAGAAGGCTAGCTCTACATGAATTTTATTGTAGAAATAAAGAGAGAGAAGGTACGTGAAGGAAAAAGAACAGGTAAAGTATAGGCGTAAAGGCTGTAACAAAAAAATGACGATATAAAAACAGGTACAATGACATAAAAACACTCACTACTTGATTTTCAATGGTATAACTGGTCAGAACCTTATGTGAAGTCGAGCACGTGTGCTTGATTCGGGAATTAGTAGATAGTGGCGCCGAAAGAAGAAAAGTAAGAGTGGTGAAGAAAAGGAACTAAAGAACGATTCAAAATTTCAAAGTAGGTGGCCAGGAATCAGAGAAACGGGTGAAAAATGGTGGAAAAATGATGGAGGAGATCGCATCGTCACAAATTGTTTGACAGTAATTGTTTTGGACGGGTTTCGGATGGGGAACGGGAGTCAATCCACTGGTCTCAAACTAGGAATTTCCCTGTACTATAAGTATCAGAACAACGAATTTTATTTCGAGGCACTATCCAGAACATCCAGACCCGAAAAGATTAAGAAAAATTAATTTCCTAAATTGATCTTACCGGGAATCGAACCCGGAGCCTTCACATCGAAATCGTCGAAAGTAAGTCTTATATATTAGAACAATTTAAAGTTCAGTAGGCGATTTTACTGATAAGCAATAATTTCTTCCAAGTTACAATTAAGATGTGAAAAAAATGGTAAATGCAATTGGGGAAGCAATCAAAGAATATTTACTAATCCTATTATAAATAAACATATTTTCCTTCGAAATTGTTTTGACATAAATACTGCCAAGCTTATAAACACGACATTATCGTAAAACTGACGACTGAAACTAGGTTCCAATCGACCATCTTTAGAATTATTATATGCACTTTCAATAACGTTAAATAATAGTTATGGTTAATTAAGCTCGATGCAAGTGGCATGCGCCAAGATCGCGTGGTATGCAAGGCAAACTATAAATCACGCCGGTATGCGATGATCCACTGACGGAATAAACCGGCTAATTGACTGGAATTAGTTATTTACTGCTCATCGTATGTAAATTAAATAAATATACGGTATTTCAGATACAAAAACAACGCCAAGGATGAAACAAATGACTTAAAATTTGTATACAGATTCTGATTCATTTTTTCGTGTATTTTTTTAAGTAGACCAAAACTTACAATAGTTATCGAGTTCTTTGCTTCTATTGATTTATTTGAAAATACAAATATACACGATTTAGATACGAAAAAATAGTTAGTGTTTACTTTACATCTACATACGTAACTAACATAGTAACATTTTGTAGCAGTAGACCTCCTTGTGAAAGAGTTTGTCCAGGTACTGCCACCTTATCTATTTCTGCCGTCAAGCAATAATGTCATCATTACTGTGTTCCGGTTTTGAAGGGTTACCCTTCAATTTCAGGCACATAGGACTTGTCAACTTATGTCTCAGGGTGACGGGCGCAGTGGCAGTGCCCCTCAGATCTCCTCAGAATTCGGGCTGGCCAATCGGAGCGCAGATAACACGGTAATGATTTGGCAGAATAGTTTTCAAACAAATTAAATGATATTTCATCTCTATTTCTGGTAATATACGCGATCTTCGTTACATTATCGGTATGTGTTGTTTATGTCTGGATAATCAAGAGATTCACACAAATATATAAAATATATAAATAGTCATTGATTACCTTTTACACCTTAATTACCTTAATTCACACCTTACGATTGTGACAAATTTCACTCTCAAGGAATCTCTATTGCCAAATCATAAATTAAGAAATTATCAATACGAAGACAGAGCTGTAAAAATATATACATATGTAAATAGTCCTACCCAGAATAGAGTGGGGTTTATAGCCGTGCTTCAATTATCATTCGGCCTCAAGGAGAGTGTTTAGAATGCTAATGGATGGAAATCAATGGACGAGATACTAAAATAGATATTGATTATGTTGTGTTGCAGACATGGCGATAGGTACTAAATGTTATTTTACAAAATTACCATTTTATTACCTTGTAGCAAGAAGCGAACGTTCTGGATATTTACATAATATTTCCACACATAATTATTGTATAATGTTGACGTAGAAAGTAATTAGTAAACTGGAGACACTGTCCATTCCATCATACACCATTTCATAAAACTCGCAAGTATTTCCTCAACAGGTCGACAGATAAAAATTCAATTCCAAATTGTCGCTGTCCTTTCTGAAAGGTATGTCTAATCTACATCCCTTAAAGCCGTGCACAACGCAGTTCGAGCAGTTTATCAAGATGGCTAAATGCTCGCAATTAGCCGATGTGAAATGTCGCGTACATATGCTAACGAGATCCCGCCTCGAGCGTGCGTGTGCGCAGAGCCAACGATCGCCCACCGCACCGGACAATTCCTGTTAGATATCTGGTAGTTTAGGCTGGATACAATACTACGACTGGAGTCTTTCTTTAATTGATATATTATTTGATCTCTTAAAAAGTCGGTCCATAAGACGTTTACTTAATAAAGCACAGAGATTTTGTCCATTGTCAATAAGTGCAAATTGAATTTAAAAAAAATGTCTTTTATAGCACTGAACAATACAATAGATAATTTATGATTGTTGCAAATGGCATTGCATATGTTGTGTTTTTGGTCGTTTTGCGACTGTTAAAAACGTATCGTTTACGTCTCCCCTAAGCTCAACATTCGACCCTCTTGATTTATAACCCTTTTATATAGCCCCCTAAAGTTTTCTAATTGTGCCCATGCGCATTCACAACAATCTTTCGTGTAATTAGTGCGTTTATGGGAATCTTCGGCTGACGAGAACCATGTAACTTCATAAATGGTCAGGAATTCTAATTGATACGCGGCTAGTAAGTAATTTGTTTAGTATGGCTTGATTTTAAAACCTTTAATAATGCAATTTAATAGCTCACTCTAACACTTATGATCAATATGAAAGGTTTACTTAAGGGAAAGCGAGACGAATCTTAAAATAAAACAATGTGGCGCGAGGCATGTTGCAAGTAATTTCGCAATAAAGGCTGGCAACACTGGAACTTGCCGCAAACGTTTCCCAGCCGACATGGCGGCTCAGGCCCTTCGCGGGGTAATTGATAATAACAGAAAATGATGCGTGACAGTAGCTGCAAGCGATGTGTTGTAAACACAATCGCGTATCACGGTCTAGGATTGCGGGGTAAATGTGTTGCCATGTCAAATAATTACGTCAAATATCGGGATTTAAAAAAAAATTAAGATTAGGTGGTATCACTTACAACGTAATACGAATCCAATAAAAAATAGTATTTTTAAAAACACGTAACTACCAACTTTTAAATGCCTCCGTAGCCGAACAGTTACCATGCTGGTCTGCCACTCAGAGGTCCAAGGTTCAATTCCCGGCCGACAAAAATATTTGTACGGCGTACATTTTTCTCTCATAAGTTTGGGTGTAATTTGTGGTTATCTATGTGTGTCTCCATGGCACCCGCTATACAGGGTTTTCTTAGTCTGTGTGTTATTTTAAAAAAAATCCTTAATCTTTAAATAACAGTTGCTTATAAGTAATGTAAAGACATGGGGAAACAATGGGGAAAGATAGGACACAATTGGGAAAGCTCCATTTCATGTTCTTACCTTCCGACAAGTGTTAAATCATAGTGTTCTAAATCTATTTTACTAACTAAATGCTCTAATACACTATTACTTATAAACACATTACACACGATACTATAGTTGTCAAACTCGTCAGGCGACTTTACTAAGTTTAGACTAAAATGACTGTAATTTTCCGGGAAAATATCTACGTAAAGAGAGGCTAGAAGCTGGCAATACCATAATAAAATGTGGTAACGTATCCAGCAGGTAATCTTGTAGGGATATTTATTTAAACACCAGTGTTTACAGCGTAATGGTGGACGATGGGTGATCATTTGCGGGCAATCGGCCAGCACCTCGTATTCGAACATTATTAAATATGTGGAAATTACAACCTAAGTACTCATCACAACCCTCATGGAAGAATGGCATAAGTGAAGTTACGTCAAAAATATATATTATTCCATTAGATACAGAAAAATATAACCCACATCCTCTCCAATTCTTGTAACTCTATCGACTAATATTGTAGATAGAGTTACAAGAATTGGAGAAGATGTGGATTATGTTTTTATGTATCTATGAATGAAATGGAGCAATAAACATTTTTGACGAAACTTCACTTATGTCATTCTTCCATGAGGGGTGCGAAATGTTGAAAGTTTATGTTTATATTCACACTTTTTTATGATACAAGAGACGGAACTAACCAGTCGTGCGCCTGGTGGTAACACTATTACATACCCATAACAGTTGCAGTGCCACTCAGAGCTTTAAATCGCAAAGATCTGAGGGATACGGCCATTGCACCCGTCATTCTGAGTCATAAGTTGACAAGTCCCATATGCCTGTAAATTCACCAAAATTTCTTTTGCTGCATTTACATATTTCTAAAAAAACAAAAACATTTTTAAGATGTTTTGTGTTTTTTTCTTCATTTTTTATAAGTACCACAAACTTTTTTGGATGTCATCATAATAACCAATATAATATTTGCACGTATGTTCATGACAAGCAGCAGTAGCGCTCCTTGTGAAAGATTTTGTCCAGAGACGTACTGGCACCTTAGCTAGTCCTGCTGCCAAGCAGTTAATGTGAGCATTACTGCATTCCGGTTTTAAGGGGTAAGGGTGCTGGAGAAATTACAGGCACTGAGACTTTGAGAAAAGCTTTGAGTGGCACTGCACTGTTATGAATATGTCGCTTAACAAGTCGCGCGACATGTCCTGTCACTTGGTAACATAAAAAAATGAACGCCCAAACCAAAATCAATCCAGAAAAGTTTATTTCCCAAATTGATGCTATAGGGTACCGAACCCGAGACCTTTATCCAGTGCCCAAGTGCTAACCGTTCTAATAAAATATATAATAGGATCCGAACTCGTAATAGCAGAGCTCCTTGTGAAAGACTTCGTCCAGAGAAGTACTATCGCTTTATCTATTTCTGCGGCCAAGTAATAATGGTAATGCGAGCATTTCTGCTTTCCGGTATCAAAAGGATGCTGGTGACATTACAGGTGCATGAGACTTGTCAACTTGAAGTCTCAAGGTGCAATGGCAGTGACCCTCAGATATTTGCGATTTAAAGCTCAGAGCGGCACTGCAACTGTTACGAACAGTCGTGTAGCGTCACGTACCACCAATGGCACAACTTGTTCGTCCCTGATGGGTTATGGGCAGGATTAAACTGGTAAAAAGTGATTTTATTGTAGCACAAAATAATTCAAACCGACCAAGTTATAGAAGGATTACATTAGCGCCATCTGGTGGCAAACTTGTGCATCAGACTCTTAAAACTGACTGGTTTACACTACACTTTTTCCAACAGTCCCGATACTTGGTGTCTTAAATAATCATCGCCTTAAAAATTACATAGAGAAATATTAACGAATTGAGAGTTAATAGAGAAATATCTCGTCTTAAACAGTTTTGAAACGACACTAACATCTATGAACTACAAACCGTGTGGTTGTTATGTTCATAAACCGTGGCCACCGGAACTTTACGATTTCCGTGATGAACATTTCGTGAAGATAAAATCATCTGTCAGATCTGATTTGTGTGGCGCAAGCGCAAGACATTATCATTTTAGACATTGGATAAAAGTTTTTCATGACCCTAGCTGCTTTTGGTTAAGTGTTTATAAGTAATAGTTGATATTTCTGGATCGATTGACCGTCAAAAGCTTTTAAACATATCTCTAATGTTATTTATAGACGTGGATGCGTTCAGTGAGATATGACCCAATTGATTTCCCCAGATTTATTTGCTTCTATGTCCCGAACATTATAAAAATAATTGAAGCATTAGGGCGTATCACGTAAAAATGAGATTCGAGAAAATTTAAAATAAAGTTTTAATGGACAAATAAATAATACTTTATTATTTATTTGTCCTATGATTTAGCTAAAAGATTCAGGTGTTATTATTATTTTAAAGTAATTAGAAACATTTGAAAATATTTTTTTTCCTTGTGTTATGCGCCCTTGTTGCATCAAACCGGTAAATTAATGGGGCGTTCGTTTTATTATTGATTTTTAAGGAAATAAATTGTGAATCAGTCCTATATAAAAATTACATTGAAAAAAATTTAAACATGTTTTTAATCATTCTCAGCAGGTCTCACTGGCCTCCTAAATAATCCATGTTGAGGATGGAGTCGCTCGTTTCAGACATTTTTTACATTAAAATAGGTTTTTAAAAACTGCAGGTGGTAACGGGTCCGAAATTCATACGCACATTCCATATCTATGCCACCTTCTAAATGAATGAAAATTACGCCGTATAGAAGAGAGATCGAATTGAGTTTTTGCCACAAAAAACTAGACAGTGTTTTACATGTTTTGATGCAATAACATCAAAACGGCCTTTGGGTACCGAAGCCCTTGTTGTTCCCAATGCTTCAATTAACATTAGTTACTTGCATTTGTTTTATGATGAGTAAATTGCGCGGCAGTTACTTATTTTTATGCGCATTGCGGACGTTTAAAAAACACGCAAGCTGTGCCTAGATTAAATTTATAAACTACCCTACAGGGTGCTCTTTAAGACTGATTTTACGTTATTCACAATTTAATTGTTATTGTTCATAAATTTATCCAATAATATCGCACATGGCAACTAACACAGTATTGTCTCAAAAATTACATTATATAAGTATGCCATTCGTATACGTTTCATTTCAAAGTGACAGGATAGCACCGGCAATCGCAGCTCCGGTCGCACTCAGACGTAACTGCAAAACATTGACAAAATTGCTTAATAATTCCAAATCATTTTAAAAGTAATACGGAAAAACATAGACATAATTATGCATTGTTTTATTTTTGTATAGAGAGCACTGCCTCTCCATAACAGTTGCAAAGATCTAAAGGGTACTGCCACTGCGCCCCTCAACCTGAGACATAATTTGCGAAGTCTCATGTGCCTAACTCACTAACACTCATACCCTTACGACCGAAACCGAAACGCAGTAATGTGAGATTCCCTGCTTGGCGACAGAAATAGGTAATGTCGAATTCTTTCACAAGAAGCTCTACTGCTACTATAACATTATTAACAATATTGATATAGTTTCATATGGTTACATACACACACTAACGTACAATATTCAGTATATTATTTTTTTACTTTAATAACAAACAATTCAACTGATCAAAAGATCTGAGGTGCACTGTCACTGCGGCCGTCACTCTTTTTTTTTCAGACACAAGTTGATAAGTCCCATGTACCTGTAATTTCGCCAGCACTCTTACCCTTCAAAACCGGAACACGGTAATGCTGACATTACTGCTTGGCGGCAGTAATAGGTGTAAGGTGGC